CCAGTTCAACGCAGATTCGGAATAAGAACCTTCTTGCTCTCAAACCTCTCTTATTTTCGTTTTTATTCTAAGTTATCGTCATCTTATTTTCGTTGTGCGGTTCTCGCAGATAGCCGGTTCCTCTGGAAACTTAGGGTTTTCCCGAAGTTTCCTTATTTACGATTTATTTGACAGTAGGGTGAAATCGACTCCCACAGTTAATGCCTGTGCCGATTCTTGTTTTCCAAGCACCAACCGCAAACTCACCTGATGATTCACAAAGAACATGCCCCACTGTTGGATCCATTTATTTATCACATAGAAACATAAAACCAAAAAAAAAAAAAAAGATACAGCGAACAAAACTCAAGCTTATTGTAATCATCTTTCACAGAAGAGGCTGTGTTACACAATAGACCTTGAATGACTTAACCAAGAAACAAACAAGGAAGATTAACGAAAAAGGACTCGCATTTCTTGATTTATTAATCTCGTATCGAAAGATCTCCTTACAACTCATGTTAAAAAAAATAACAAGAATCCCCAAAATTTTACAAGCGTCCATACCACTCAAATAATATGTCATGTCATCCTTGTCAATCCAGTTGAATTCAACCGCAGTTTCTAGCTTTCTAAATCAAAACTTTGTTCCTGAAAATTAAAGATAAAGTATCAGATTACTAGTACCAATCAAAGAGGATGATAAACTCCACCAGAGTTTTACTTGACTAGCAAAAGGATCACACCTTCCTTTCTAGAGCCTAAACAAAGAAGAGGAGCAACTATAATTATTTTGATCATCTATCTATCAACCATGGATTCCCCCACCTGAACTCAACCCAAACACAAAGCACGCTGTAGCTTTCAGTCTCTGAAATGGCTAACATTTTGAAGAAACAGATGATACTATCACATATCTTCAACCAAAACTTCCTCTGAGCAAAGTTACTAAACTAAGTCACTTCACTGGCTTATCCAGTAAACTTAGCTTATAAAACCAACCACAAGAAGAAACTATCTTAGATTTTCAGGCCAAACTAAATGATGCGTGTTGATCTTCCCACACAACAACACTACAGACAGTTTTGATCATTTTAATACAAAACTCTATACAGAAACAAACAAATTCGAGTTTCAGATGTGTAAGGAGAGACCTACGTCTGTTTAGAGTAGGAAGAAGAGGAGGGGACGCGCTTGTTGCGGAACATCATGTACCCAACTGGCAATACGACGCCTATCATCATCACCGCCGATCCGATCAAGTACCGTAACAGACTCGGAGCCTCCACTTCTATCACCGTCTTCAACTGCAGGCAAAAGACAAATCGGGATCAGCTAAAAGCAAGCGGAATCACATGTTTGATATTACACATTTAACGAGGAAATTTACCGGCATTATAGCGTCCTAAAAGATGGTTTCGCCGTTCGCCGGTGACGAGATCTACACTTCTCTCCGGTTAGGTGAGTCTCTTTTTCTTGCTCTTTCCTAGCCTTTAGGCTCGCATACCTCCCTGGTTTGAGCTGTAAAATAATTCCCAAAACGATTTCAAATCATCCGAATTCAAATGGATGTTCCAAAACTTTAAATAACTCGATCTGAATAACCAAAAAAAAATGATTTATGAATCTTTAAAATAATTAAATGGATCAAATACTTTTTATTTTATTTTGAGAAATAGCTTCTTATATATATATATATATATACTAGTGGTTTTCTCGGGCTACGCTAGACCTGGGCATCCGAGTCCTCGGATCGGATCCTGTCGGGTCCGGGTCTTCGGGTCTTAGAGATTTAGATCCATACAGGTTGTTATAATTTTTCGGGACAGTTTCGGGTCGGGTCTTGTCGGGTCCGGGTCGGTTCGGATCTTAATTTTGAAAACCTATTAAAAAACCTGTAAATTTCGGGATCAAAGGTTCCAGGTCCAGTTCCATATTTTTGGTTATTTTTGGTTCGTTCTATTATTTTAGGGTCGGTTTAAAGTAATTTGGGTAAAATTTAACCTGCTACCCGAAATTTGAACCTGCAATTCTATATTAAACATGCTCAAAAATATTGGAAGAATTAACTGAGATCGGGATCGATCGATCTAAAATATAGATCGATCGGTGAAGATCGACTGAACTGGACAAGGTCGATCAGTTTCTGCTCCGTGCTTTTTTATGTTTTTATTTAATCATCGAAATCGACCGTTGGGATCGACCGACTCTTTCTGAGATCGATCAATCACGTCGTATAGAGCAGTTTCTTTGTAGGTTAAACTAATACCCTACGGGTAGCGGGTTTTCTCCGGATCCGAACATGTACCCACGGGGCTACAAAAAAAAAATCCAACAGGTTAATTTCAATATACCCGGACCTGTACTCAAACCTGCGATTTCGGGTCGGTTCCGGGCCGGATCCTCGGGTCCAGGTTAAAATGCCTAGGCCTAGGCTACGCCCGGGTTTTCTTATATAAATGTTAGTTTAATTTAATTTATTATATTAATTTTGAATATATATAATGCCAATATATCGATTTTAAAAAATATAAATCATAAAATGAAGTTTAAATTATTAAATTGTAAACCAACTAATATTAACAGTAGATATTATATGTTTTCTATTTTAATTATGTTAAAATTTTAAATAAATTTACATGATATTTGATCAAAAACTGTAATATCTAGATGGGATATCTTGGTTATTGTTTGATGAACTATTTTTTGATAAATTGATGTATTTAATAATATATTTATAAATTGTTTTATTTTTCAAACTTTTGACAATATTTATTTTGGAATTTTTTTAATAAAATTTTGTTTTTGATGTTGAAGTAGGTAATTTTTTTTTTCCAATTTACTGAACAAAAAACTATAAAATATCATACCTGATAATTCAAATTTATATAACTTTATATTTATTAGTTTTGTTTAAAAGTTTAAAACTTTTCTGAAAAAAGTAACTGTATATTTATTTTTGCCAACAATTTAAAGTAGTGTATACTAAATTTTGTAATATAATCATTCGTAACTACAATAATGCTATTACACCAAGTCTATAATATTTGATAGTTTTAAGCAAGATTATATACTGAACTTTTTGTAAGCTTACACACATTACAGATACTAGCATGACATTTTGATAATTAATACAATTTTTATTCTTGAATAATTATAGTAAACATGTGATAACATCTAGTGGGGTTTATTGATTCCAGTATTTTCATAATTTTTTTTTTTAAGCACTGGTGTTTGAATGTTCAGGGGAAAAACAAAAACATGGGAAAAGATGAGATACATGGAAAAAATGGGATGTCAGTAGACATCAAAAACCAAGAAAATCTCACCAAATTCCTTTACTATTAGGCCTCTAAAGCGAGAAGACGGTGTAGCCAGACCGGAGCATTCCGGGCAATGTACGATTGGTGCCGCAGATCACAAGTGACACTTAAGGTAATGGCCGCTGCGGCTTCATTGCGTTCCGGTAATGCATGATCAATCCTCCATGCTTCTATCCCTGTCAGGAGGAAGGATATATTGTGGCGGATGAGGTTGAAACTCTAGTGATCAGCAGGCTTTGTGAGAATATCGCGAAGGCTTTTTGATGAGATCTCAAAAATAATATTCGAGAAATACAAATTCTCCAAACACTCAACCGCCCAGAAAAAAGCCCATAAGTCTGCTTCTGTTTTTGTGCGCATACATGAGTAGGCTCGACGACTATGCATGAGTGTACATCCTTTTTCGTCACATAGAATCCATGAAGCACCACTAATATGAATTGAGTTTACCCATGAGGATCCAACATTACATTTGAGGAAACCATTTGAGAGTTTTTTCCATTGAACTTTATCTGAGTCAGCTTCTTCAGTTCCATTCTTTGATCCTGTGAATGTATCAAACCATGTGGATTCTTCTTCATAAGTTTTTTTTTGCAATAAACGAGGACGCGATATCCTTGGCTTTAAAGATAAAAGCATTCCTAGCTTTCCAAATTTCTCACAACAACCATGGAAAAACTTTTCTGATATGTATATTCGTAGTTGAACTCTTAGCCATCTTAATCAAATTTATAAATTTTCATAAATTTATAAAAACATTTGGATTTAGAAATTTTTGATAAATCATATGATTTAAAACCGAGAAAATAGATTTAAGAATCAAGGATATTGATTTCAAAATGAAAATAGCTTTTTACGAAAATTAAGGATATCACAAACTTTGATAAATCATATGATTTTAAAATCGAGCAAATAAATTTAAGAATCAATGATATTGATTTCAAAATGATTTTAGTTGTTTTTTTCATTTTTTTAACTTCGGTTTCAGAATTGCTGTGCAATTCAGTTTTTCCTCATTTTGGTTTGACTCTTGTTGGAGCTTTTTCTTTTCTTTTAAACTCATATTTTACGGAAATCTTTTGGAAATCAAGGATATTGATTTCAAAATAAAAATAGATTTAAGAATCAAGGATATTGATTTTAAAATCAAGCAAATAGATTGAAGAATCAAGGATATTTATTTGGATATTTCATATTTAGAGATATGAAAGTTTTCATCCATCTTGAAGAATAGGTTGAAAGTGAGAAAGTTTTTTTTTTTTTTGTAATTTACTGGACTAAAAATATTTATTAAAATCATATCATTTGTAAAAATCAATAAAAATTTAAATAAAATAAAATATTTTTATAATTCGACCTAAAACACTTTCAACAAATGATAGAATGAAAAGTATCATCTTTTGACTCTATGGAGAGAAAAAACTCTACTTTATTATATAAGAGATGTATAAATATATGTATATGTATATTTTTATTTTATCATAAAAAAAAATATTTATTTTTGTAAAACTTTTGAAATATTTTATAACTAGTAAATCATATATCACCATTACAATATAAATGCATATATAACATTAATAAAAAAACTAAATATAAGTACATTGTAAAAAAATCAAATGAACTTATATATATCATTTGTTCATAAATAAAAATATATATTAAAATAGAAAACTAAAACTGTAATAATGAAATAGAAAATTTGTTTTAATTAATGTTTAAATTTTTATTAGCATTTATTGGTTCATTAAGTAAACGAAAATTTGTTAAATATAATAAATATAAAAACATCATTAAAAGAATGTGACACATGACATTTTTTGCCCATATGGAGAAGAAAAATACTTTTTTTTTTTAATGAAATTTCATATTTATTGATCAATCAAAAGAATGTTATGTACATATGTGTCACTACTCTATCTTAAGAAAAAAATTCAAGAAGTAAGCTCGAACCATCGTAAGCGCAAGCCTCCATACTTGTGATCTGCTGTGTACTTGAGTGAAGTGATTCTGTTACGAACCGCCTTCTCTATAAGCGTCTTCATACAGTCCGAGTTGACTCGAAGTGTCCCATGGCGTCTGGCATTCCTTTCACGCCAAAGGTGGTAGATTGTGACCTGAAATAGAAGCTTGGCCAAGATGGTGTCCCCTGCCGCGCTGTCTCATGCGTTGAATTCGTCGCAGTGTCCACTGCCAGTCAGGGTTGATGTTATTACCCAATAACCTCCTCGCCAAAGCCTCCCAAACCGTGTAGGAATAAGGGCATGCAAAGAAGAGGTGATCTCTTGTCTCATCCCTTTCCCCACAGAACTCACATACTTGAAGAACTCCCCATTGTCTCATTCTCTCTCCAGTCGATAACATGTTCTTGATTGCCAGCCAGGCGATAAAAGAATAGCAGGGAACACCTTGAGGGAACCATATCAGTCGACTCCACTCCACTTTGGCTCTCTTGGATCTCACTTCCTCCCACGTTCTTGAAGATGAGAAAAAATCGCGGAAATCATCCTCCCCATATTTCCACAGCACTATGTCACTTCCACTATCTGAGTGCGGTGGCACCACTTCCAGAATAGCACTACGCAGCTCCTGAAACCGCCGGCTCCTCTGTCCACCAAAACACCATCCTTGTGTAGTCACAGCATCACTAACCTTTTCATTTCTCTGAACTCCAAAATAAGTAGTGCCAATCGGACCAGTAATGTCAATCAGCCGCCCCTTACCTATCCAATCATCAAACCAGAAATGACATTGCTTCCCATCTTTAATATCAATCCTGAGTAACCTATAGGCAACATCCCGAAGCTTCAACAATTTTCTCCAAATCCAGGAGCCCTTTGTATCGTCTCGTACATCCCATAAGGAGCTATACTTGAGAAGATAGTGATTTACCCAACAAACCCATAGAGAAGAAGGCTTAGTAAACAGACGCCATATGAGTTTCAATGCAAAAACTCTATTCGATTCCCGAAGCTTTCTGATGCCTAGACCTCCCTCATCTTTAGGATAACATACATCTTCCCAACTCACTTTTGTTTGATGAGTCCTTGTAGGGGAGCCTGACCAAAGGAAGGCG